TTCTTTAATAATCAAATGACACGTAAGAGCTATCGCGCTACGCGCGGAGGAAGTGGAACTTGATTCAAACATTAAGGATTAAGAGTCGAGAATGGTACATAAAATCGTCTTCTTTCTTCAATAATATAATGAAACGTCAGAGCTTCCGCGCTACGCACGGAGGAAGGGGAACTTCATTCAAACATTAAGGATTAAGGATGGTACATCGAAACGCCTTCTTTCTTTAATAATCTAATGAACCGTCAGAGCTTCCGCGCTACGCGCGTAGGAAGGGGAACGTTATTCAAACAAGGATTAAGAGTCGAGAACGGTCCAACGAATCGTCTTCTTTCTCTAATAAGTTAATGAAACCTCAAAGCTTCCGCGCTTCGTGGGGGAGGGCCCTCCCTGCACCCAACCCCCTAGGGAGCGCGCTTCGCGCACTCTGTAACTCTCCTGGCTATGCCCTTGGGGAGGGGTGCAACCTGCCACAAGCTTCTACCTCTTGATTGCTTTGATCCATTGCCGAAAATATTTTGGCACCTATCATCCCCCCCAACCACGGATACAAATCGACACCCTTGACTCCCATGCACCCTCAACTCTCTCTCTCTCCCTTCGTCTCTTCTCCCTTTCCTCCCACATGCTCTCTCTTCTCTTTCCTGCATCCATCTTCACTCACATGCACCCTCAACTCTCCCTTCCTCCCTTGATCCTCTTCTCCCTCCGTCTCTTCTCTCTTTCCTGCCTCCATCTCCACTCAGTGCACTCTCATCTCTCTCTCCCTTCCCTCCCTTTATCCTCCACTCACATGCACCCTCAACTCTCTCTCTCCTTCCCTCCCTTTATCCTCCACTCCCATGCACCCTCAACTCTCTCCCTTTCTCCCTCCGTCTCTTCTCCCTTTCCTCCATCATGCTCTTTCTTCTCTTTCCTGCCTTCATCTCCACTCCCATGCACCCTCAACTGTCTCTCTCCCTTCCTCTCTCCGTCTCTTCTCCCTTTCCACCCTCATGCTTCTCTTTCCTGCCCACCACCTCCACTCACATGCACCCTCATCTCTCTCTCCCTTCCCTCTCTTTATCCTCCACTCCCATGCACCCTCAACTCTCTCTCTCTCTTCATTCCTCTCTTGATCCTCCCCTCCCTCCGTCTCTTTTCCCTTTCCTCCCTCATGCTCTTTCTTATCTTTCCTGTCTCCATCTGTACTCCCATGCACCCTCATCTCTCTCTCTCTCCCTTCCTTCCCTTTATCCTCCACTCCCATGCACCCTCAACTCTCTCTCTCTCCCTCCCTCTCTTGATCCTCCCCTCCCTCCGTCTCTTCTTCCTGCCTCCCTCATGCTCTTTCTTCCCTTTCCTGCCTCCATCTCCACTCACATGCACCCTCAACTCTCTCTCTCCCTTCCCTCCAATCCCATCATGCACCCTCAACTCTCCCTTGATCCTCTCCTCCCTTCGTCTATTCTCTCTTTCCTGTCTCCATCTCCACTAACGTGCACTCTCATCTCTCTCTCCCTTCCCTCCCTTTATCCTCCACTCCCATGCACCCTAATCTCTCTCTCCCTTCCCTCCCTTTATCCTCCACTCCCATGCACCCTCAACTCTCTCCCTACCTCCCTCCGTCTCTTCTCCCTTTCCTCCCTCATGCTCTTTCTTCTCTTTCCTGCCTCCATTTCCACTCCCATGCACCCTCAACTGTCTCTCTCCCTTCCTCCCTCCGTCTCTTCTCCCTTTCCACCCTCATGCTCTTACTTCTCTTTCCTGCCCACCATCTCCACTCACATGCACCCTCATCTCTCAAACCCTTCCCTCCCTTTATCCTCCACTCCCATGCACCCTCAACTCTCTCTCCTCCTTCCGCTCTTGATCCTCCACTCCCTCCGTCTCTTCTCCCTTTCCTCCCTCATGCTCTTTCTTATCTTTCCTGTCTCCATCTGTACTCCCATGCACCCTCATCTCTCTCTCTCTCTCCCTTCCCTCCTTTTATCCTCCACTCCCATGCACCCTCAACTCTCTCTCTCCCTCCCTCTCTTGATCCTCCCCTCCCTCCGTCTCTTCTCCCTTTCCTCCCTCGTGCTCTTTCTTCCCTTTCCTGCCTCCATCTCCACTCCCATGCACCCTCAACTCTCTCTCTCTCTCTCCCTTCCCTCCCTTTATCCTCCACTCCCATGCACCCTCAACTCTCTCTCTCTCCCTCCCTCTCTTGATCCTCCCCTCCCTCCGTCTCTTCTTCCTGCCTCCCTCATGCTCTTTCTTCCCTTTCCTGCATCCATCTTCACTCACATGCACCCTCAACTCTCCCTTCCTCCCTTGATCCTCTTCTCCCTCCGTCTTTTCTCTCTTTCCTGCCTTCATCTCCACTCAGTGCACTCTCATCTCTCTCTCCCTTCCCTCCCTTTATCCTCCACTCCCATGCACCCTCAACTCTCTCCCTTTCTCCCTCCGTCTCTTCTCCCTTTCCTCCATCATGCTCTTTCTTCTCTTTCCTGCCTTCATCTCCACTCCCATGCACCCTCAACTGTCTCTCTCCCTTCCTCTCTCCGTCTCTTCTCCCTTTCCACCCTCATGCTTCTCTTTCCTGCCCACCACCTCCACTCACATGCACCCTCATCTCTCTCTCCCTTCCCTCTCTTTATCCTCCACTCCCATGCACCCTCAACTCTCTCTCTCTCTTCATTCCTCTCTTGATCCTCCCCTCCCTCCGTCTCTTTTCCCTTTCCTCCCTCATGCTCTTTCTTATCTTTCCTGTCTCCATGTACTCCCATGCACCCTCATCTCTCTCTCTCTCCCTTCCTTCCCTTTATCCTCCACTCCCATGCACCCTCAACTCTCTCTCTCTCCCTCCCTCTCTTGATCCTCCCCTCCCTCCGTCTCTTCTTCCTGCCTCCCTCATGCTCTTTCTTCCCTTTCCTGCCTCCATCTCCACTCACATGCACCCTCAACTCTCTCTCTCCCTTCCCTCCAATCCCATCATGCACCCTCAACTCTCCCTTGATCCTCTCCTCCCTTCGTCTATTCTCTCTTTCCTGTCTCCATCTCCACTCACGTGCACTCTCATCTCTCTCTCCCTTCCCTCCCTTTATCCTCCACTCCCATGCACCCTCATCTCTCTCTCCCTTCCCTCCCTTTATCCTCCACTCCCATGCACCCTCAACTCTCTCCCTACCTCCCTCCGTCTCTTCTCCCTTTCCTCCCTCATGCTCTTTCTTCTCTTTCCTGCCTCCATTTCCACTCCCATGCACCCTCAACTGTCTCTCTCCCTTCCTCCCTCCGTCTCTTCTCCCTTTCCACCCTCATGCTCTTACTTCTCTTTCCTGCCCACCATCTCCACTCACATGCACCCTCATCTCTCAAACCCTTCCCTCCCTTTATCCTCCACTCCCATGCACCCTCAACTCTCTCTCCTCCTTCCTCTCTTGATCCTCCACTCCCTCCGTCTCTTCTCCCTTTCCTCCCTCATGCTCTTTCTTATCTTTCCTGTCTCCATCTGTACTCCCATGCACCCTCATCTCTCTCTCTCTCTCCCTTCCCTCCTTTTATCCTCCACTCCCATGCACCCTCAACTCTCTCTCTCCCTCCCTCTCTTGATCCTCCCCTCCCTCCGTCTCTTCTCCCTTTCCTCCCTCGTGCTCTTTCTTCCCTTTCCTGCCTCCATCTCCACTCCCATGCACCCTCAACTCTCTCTCTCTCTCTCCCTTCCCTCCCTTTATCCTCCACTCCCATGCACCCTCAACTCTCTCTCTCTCCCTCCCTCTCTTGATCCTCCCCTCCCTCCGTCTCTTCTTCCTGCCTCCCTCATGCTCTTTCTTCCCTTTCCTGCCTCCATCTCCACTCACATGCACCCTCAACTCTCTCTCTCCCTTCCCTCCAATCCCATCATGCACCCTCAACTCTCCCTTCCTCCCCTGATCCTCTCCTCCCTTCGTCTCTTCTCTCTTTCCTGTCTCCATCTCCACTCACGTGCACTCTCATCTCTCTCTCCCTTCCCTCTAATCCCATCATGCACCCTCAACTCTCCCTTCCTCCCTTGATCCTCTCCTCCCTTCGTCTCTTCTCTCTTTCCTGTCTCCATCTCCACTCACGTGCACTCTCATCTCTCTCTCCCTTCCCTCCCTTTATCCTCCACTCCCATGCACCCTAAACTCTCTTCCCCTTCCTTCCTCTGTCTCTTCTCCCTCGTTCTCTTTTTTTATATTTCCTGCCTCCATCTCCACTCCCATGCATCTCTCTCTCCCTTCCCTCCCTTTATCCTCTACTCACATGCACCCTCAACTCTCTCTCCCTACCCTCCGTCTCTTCTCCCTTTCCACCCTCATGCTCTTACTTCTTTTTCCTGCCCACCATCTCCACTCACATGCACCCTCATCTCTCTCTCCCTTCCCTCCCTTTATCCTCCACTCCCATGCACCCTCAACTCTCTCCCTTCCTCCCTCCGTCTCTTCTCCCTTTCCACCCTCATGCTCTTACTTCTTTTTCCTGCCCACCATCTCCACTCACATGCACCCTCATCTCTCAAACCCTTCCCTCCCTTTATCCTCCACTCCCATGCACCCTCAACTCTCTCTCTTCCTTCCTCTCTTGATCCTCCACTCCCTCCGTCTCTTCTCCCTTTCCTCCCTCATGCTCTTTCTTATCTTTCCTGTCTCCATCTGTACTCCCATGCACCCTCATCTCTCTCTCTCTCCCTTCCCTCCTTTTTTCCTCCCACTCCCATGCACCCTCAACTCTCTCTCCCTCCCTTCCCTCTCTTTATCCTCCACTCCCATGCACCCTCATCTCTCTCTCTCCCTTCCCTACCTTTATCCTCCACTCCCATGCACCCTCAACTCTCTCTCTCCCTCCCTCTCTTGATCCTCCCTTTCCTCCCTCGTGCTCTTTCTTCTCTTTCCTGCCTCCATCTCCACTCCCATGCACCCTCATCTCTCTCCCTCCCCTCCATTCCCTTCCTCCCTTCTTCACTACCTTCCCCTCTTTCTGGATTTAAACCTTACAACTAAATCATGAATTCAGACTAGGAATAAGAAATACAAAAATACTTTAATCTTTGGCACATACTCTGTACACATAAACATGGTATGCACAAACATGATTATATAATGAACATATTCCAGATGTAATGAAATTTCCATTTCAGTTAATTTGGTATTCTTTGCATATCATATAAATACGAAGCTGTAAACTCGCTAACTATAAGATCATCTGATTCAAACTGCAGTGATCAGATTTTCTTCTTGAAATTGGAAAGTAACGTTCTTTTATTGCTACATCTTTCTCATAAAAATCATGTACCTTCAAAGAATATTGATTTACACACTGATAGAAAGTATGTCGTACAGTAAACACACACTGGTATGCCAGTTTGTATTGAAAAATGGTGATTTTGACAAATTCAACATGTCACAGAGTTCAGGATTTCAATGCATATCTCCCTCCTATACAAGAAGCTCTTGGCATCAAGGCTAATATCAAATCACATGACCACTTTGTTCATATATACATGCAGGCCTTCAGCATAAGGCACACAAAACTTGGTACACATCTACTCATAGGCCTGATAGTTAAAATGGAAGAACAAAAATACAACAATGCTATTAAGTACTGGAATAATCCTTGAATTGTGGTATGTATATACATGTAGTTGATCCAGATATACCTTATCACAACTTCACTCATTCCTGCCAACTTGTCAAGCATAAGGCACACAAAACTTTGGTACACATCTACTGACAGTTCAAATGGAAGAAGATGGAGAAGAAAAAAAAATATTGTCAAGTACTGGAATAATTCCTTAATTGTAGAGTTGGGCCAGATAAACATTATCACAGTTTCGCTCATTCCTGCCAACTTTTCAATTCAGGAAGATACAACAAATTTTGTCTCTGTTTATAGTATATAAAAAATCATAAGGCACGCAAAACTTGGTACATATCTACTGATAGTTAAAAATAGAAAAAGACAAACAAAAAATCAAGTACTGGAATAATCCCTGAATTGTAGATGTACATACATGTAGAGTCGGGCCAGATATACATTATCACAATTTCACTCATTCCTACCAACTTTGCACTTCAGGAAGATAAACAAATATGGTCTCTGTTTAATATATATAGTATATACATCACTAATTACTCTGAGATGAGTGACTCCTGATAGGAACGAATGAAGTTGAGAAAATCTGAGTAAAATGAGTTTCTTCCCAGTACATGTAAACTTTCGGGGCCCAACTGTGTAAACGCAACTTGTGTGAGCCTGACCAAAATGCATACAATTAAGTACAACATGGTAATTTAAATACTTAATAAAATTACAAACACATTACAAAACAACCTCAAAGTCAATATTGCATTCTGGGGACTTTTCCATAAAAAGTTGAAATCAAAATTACATTTTCAACCAATTGGGGTCATGTATTTAGTAATTGTGTTTACTTTTTGAGTAATGTTGTGTTTGACATTGCAACTTTTGAAGCAAGAGGGCCCTCGATCGTAACGAAATCCAATTTCCAGACAAACTAGCTCAAAGGAACTCTCGGTCCTGTTTCATAAAACTTGCTACCAATAACAAGTGTCACATTTTCTATGACAAATTGGCTCTCAACCATTCAAATGCAACAATTTCAATAGCTCATAATAGTTATTGCAACTTGTTATTGATAACAAGTTTCATAAAACAGGGCCAAAGTTTCAAATTTCATTCTTGCAACTTACTTCTATGAGTGCAGACAAAAATAAAAGATTTCAGTAAGTCATCCTTCACAGCTATTTTTTTCTGAATTGCTAATGATCAGGCGTTACACCTTGGGATATTGAGTAACACAACTGGTTGACCAGCTGCTTATTATGGTGGTAAGAACAGAATTGTTTTCAGCCCAGTGGAACAAACGTTTACGTTGTTTGACAATATTATGTCAGCTATATAATTTTATCATGAAATTGAAAAATGTATTGATCAAACTAATCTAAGAGAAAAGAAATTCATGAAAAAGTGTTTTTATTTCGACCATCAATTTTTTTGTTATTGTGTTTACGTTTAAAGTCATAATCTGTCATATAAAATAAATTGAATGCAGTATATGATTGATTTTTGCTTTGGTAAAATGTTTTAATATAAATTTTAGTTTGACCAAGTGATGTAAATATGGAATTTTGCATGATTGTAGATGTAAAGGAATCCTGTGGATGAGGGGGAAAAATGGATGAGGGTCAACATTTGATCCTATGATCCAGGCTATACTTTATGAAATATATAGGGTTATGGTCGCACTTTATTTTGAGTTCAGGTAATAATGTTTACGGTTAGGTACACGTAATATGATATATTTATTGTGTATGAATATAACATTGCTATGTTGTGATATGAAGTTCATTGAATTTGCTGTTTCATTTCTAGTGTTAAATATTATAATTTTATGTTTACAGTAATATGTAAGGCCTGAAGTTGAAGTTAACATTTTGGTAAGTGTAGGAAACCGACGCGGAACAACTGTCGTACAACCGACTCAGAGATAGTTCTATATGATCCAGCAGCACATAATCAAACTGTGCAATCTGGATGGTTGTGCACTGCCATTGTGTGGCTCTCAAAGGTATTCTGATGGCTGTGATGTCCATCATAGGTCATCCTCCTCGTCTGAGACGTAATCCTCCTCTTCTGAGGTTGAAGCTGGAATTTTGGTTAGTGTAGGAAGCCGACGCAGAAAGACTGTCACAGTAGCAAGTGTCGTAGAACCCTCTTGGAGATAGTTCTATACGATCGAGCAGCACATAATCCAGCTATGCGATCTTGATGGTTGAAGGTATTCTGATGGCTGTGATGTCCATCATAGGTCATCCTCCTCGTCTGAATCTGAGATGCTATCTTCCTCTTCTGAGAGATCAGAAGTATCCTCCCTGAATTGATGTTGAGGAAAGAAGATAAAATATAGGTTTGGGGGATAGGATCTGGGCCCTGTAACATATGAAGTGACTAACAATCCAATCAATTGTAAAAATCTCCACTTTAAGCATTGTATTTACCTGTAACGAAGAAGATACATGTATCAGGGAAACCTGCATGTACAATCAAGATTTTAGATAATATTAATAGTAACTTTCAATGTTACACGGCCTAGGCACCGAAGGCCTGAGGTGGTATTCTGAAATTCATGCTTTCTTTTATGCTAGTGAAAAAATGTTTCCTGTTAAAGCAAAGATAAGTAAGAAAAGTCTTTGATTAATTCTCGATATCACCAATATATTACAAATACCAGCATGTTACATTCAGGCCTCATTTTAAATGCACTCTGGGATAGTTTGGTGACCAAATCGCCGGCTGTGATTGTGTGTCTGTGTACTTTATTTTCTGACAGCACTCACAGTGATTTATCACGATTCTCAACTATTTCAAGAGTGGATCCTTACTTAAAAACGTATGCAAATATTTTACACATACTAAATTTAACATATTTAATAATAATAATAATATTTAATTTTTATATTGCGCTTAATACAAATACTGGTACATATTTGGAAGTGTGATTGGAAAGAGCAAGTACAAGCATAGAAATAATAATGTCACCTTTCGTTGGTTATGTTCATTGGCAAGAGTGAAACCTTGTCTGAAATATTAAAGGATGTGACTACATTAAAGGGTTTGTTGACTTTTTAGATGACCAATGGACATACTCCATTCTGGTGGGATATTCTAAAGTTAAGCCTGTCATTTTCTTGAAGTTTCAAGAAGGTCCTTCCATTGTTTTAATCTAGACATCGATAAGATTTGGAGGATCTTTCTCTTGTTTGTCATTGCTGCCGTCACCAAAAATAAAGAACCTAGATGTAGCTTTCAGAGACGTACCTATGTACATTGGCTCAAAGTTACTTCAGAGAGGCTTCATCTGTGCATTTTGGGCATATTGGCGATAGCGAGAATTTCTATGTAAAGCTGGCTATTTGTACAGTTTAGAGATAAATCTGCACCAACACCTACAATTAGTCCCATTCCATGCAACCTCAATTTATGATAATTAACATAATTTTCACTTTTTGAATGTAGCAGACGTAATAAAGAATATTGCACAGAATACAACCAAGAAAACTAAAACATATGTATATTGGGGACACTTGTATATATTGTTCACAGCCGTCAGGCTGAATAGGATAGGTGCCTAACCGGCCTCAACAAGAGCAGATAGATCCTGTAATGAACGAATAAAACATCCACCATTTTTTTTATACGAAAAATATCCTAGATCCTTGTTATTTGATTTAAAGAGACTCTCAAGATTGTTCTTAGTAATTATCGCTGATAAATAAACCCAAATTTAATAGGCTTAATTTAGCGCGCACACAGGGATAGGGGCACTTACTGCTCATATTTTGATTGTGATGCTGCTCCTATTCTACTTTCATCTTCACATCTATATTCATACCTGAATTTATTCATGATGTGATTCAGAATTGTATTTAAAATTCTTGCTATGTATAAGTCATATAACTGTCTTGTCATGTTTTGTGCTGAAAGCCGGAGGACCGTACCTGCTCATAGACTTTTTCTTATAGAGTCTTGACGCCCTTCTGGTTTTCAGCACATGTTTATGTATTACATGTTATACCAATGGAAAACAAATTTCTGTATTATATTATGGACAATAAAATCTTGAATCTTGAATCTTGAATCTTACCTCTACAAGCATCAATGCACAGTGATATACATGTATTAATCCACACACAGTATATAAAGCATATTAAACTCTACATGCCCTGCTGTGGAAAGATCGTTAAATAGTACTAGAAACTATAGCATGCTTTTTCATGGAAAAACATGTGATATTCACAGTAAAGGAATCACATGTGACCGTGCTTAACCAATCATTTGATTAGGATCTAGGAGTAAGTTGTATAGCAATAAAATTAATTTGTAATTTATTTTGTTTAATAGTTCACTTACCGTCTTAAGTCATTGAGTGACTGCAGGAATGAATCAAAATCCGCTTGGGGAACTCTATTGAACCTGAAATTTCCATTACTGATTTGAGGAAAAGAATCCTGAAAAGAAATATATGAGCATGATTGGTGATAGTGATTCATGTAGTTTCCCTCCATTCCAGTCTGGCTGACATACTTTAACATACATGTACATACCAGGTCAGTACTCTCTCTGGCATATAGACTTAGTATCCTTGTTATGTTGACAACTCCTATATACCCCCCCCCCCCCACCCCCCTCCCCACCAAATACACACACATACAAAAAAGCTATGTTGATTGAACTGGTCAATATTTTCAACAGAACTTTATGCTGACACCCCATCCTCCCTGATCATGCACATGCCCAAAACAAAAAGAACAAAAAAACAACAACAAAATCTGTGCTTAAAATAAGTACACTGTGATCAAGATCTCCATCCTTGTTTAGTGACTATTCAATCTGACGTATACTCTCAGACCCATGATGACATTATTCAAACCTTATGAATTGATTTGAACTATTTGTATCTATTAGTCTTTAGAGTACTTCAGTGATCTGTTTATACTGAAATTGTATTATTGCGTAACTAGTAACACAACACTCTCCCCCCCCCAAAAAAAAAAAACTAGATGGAATTCGACTGCGTGCAGTCGAAAATGATGCCTCCGTCATAGAGCAATTTTACAAACCAAAACAGAAGAAATTTTTCGAATTCAAGTTCAATTGTAATTCATTAACAGATTCTCAGAATATCGTGATTACAAGCAATTTCTCATATGACCCTTTGATCTTTGACCTCATGACCCTAACATCTACTCAGTTCATTGGGTCTGCAAGATGTCCTGAGTTAAATAGTAATCCATCTGTCAGTTCTAATAAGAACGCGTTCACAAGCTATTTTTGCATACATAATGAGCCCATGACCTTTGACCTTATGAACCAAGAATCTACTCAGTTCATTGGCTCTGCAAGTAACATACATGACCTAATTTTGGCAGGAATCCATCAATCGGCTCTTGAGATTACGCGATCACAAGCTGTTTTTGCATACATAATGTGCGCTGTGGCCTTTGACCTTTGACCTTGTGACCCCAAAATCTAATCAGTTCATCGGCTCTGCAAGTAACATACATAACAAAGTTTGGCAGCAATCCATCAATCGGTTCTTGAGATAACGCGATCACGAGCTGTTTTTGCACACATAATGAGCCCTGTGACCTTTGACCTCGTGACCCCAAAATCTAATCAGTTCATTGGCTCTGCAAGATACATACATGACCAAAGTTTGGCAGGAATCCATCAATCGGTTCTTCAGATAACGCGATCACGAGCTGTTTTTGCATACATAATGAGCCCTGTGACCTTTAAACTTTGACCTCGTGACCCCAAAATCTAATCAGTTCGTTGGCTCTGCAAGATACATACATGATTAAAGTTTGGCAGGAATCCATGAATCGGTTCTTCAGATAACGCGATCACGAGCTGTTTTTGCATACATAATGAGCCCTGTGACCTTTGACCTTTGACCTCGTGACCCCAAAATCTAATCAGTTCATCGGCTCTGCAAGATACATACATGACCAAAGTTTGGCAGGAATCCATCAATCGGTTCTTCAGATAACGTGATCAAGAGAACGGGACGTACGTACGTACAGACGTGTGTACAGACGTACGGACGGACAGACGGACGGACAACCCGAAAACATAATGTCTCCGGCTACTTCGTAACTGAGGCATAAAACTCCTTAAACTCATCTCCACTGCTGCATGTGTACATGAATTCATCATGACATGGATACAGAGTACAAACACACATACGTACCTGTAAGGTTGACGCCTTTGCATTCAGTGCAGAATATAACTCCTCCTCGAACTCCTTTCCATGTAGTATCAGGTCAGTCAGGTTTGGCATGGAACACAAAGCATCTATTAGGTAATGTGAAGAGGCTGATGTTGGACACCAAACATCATCAAGCCAGAAAGTCTGGACCTACATGTATACAAACAGTGATTCATACAAGTACATTACCAGAGTACATGTTTTTCTTCAAGGACTGCAAATGTATAACCGGGTGCTCCGATATACATGTATGTGTATGGCTATGCTTGGGTGACAAATGCAATGGGCTTTATATAGTAAAATATAGGAATTGGATAAGGGCTGCAAATAGGTTTGAGCTCAGGTTTAGTGATAGGAATACTTTTTGGTGCAGGGATCAAGTTAAGAATTTGGTTAGTACAGGATGGAAAGCACAGAAAAATTGTTGATGGGCATGCGTTAAAACAACAGGAGGATCGACAAACACAGCCATTTTCTCACTACATAGTGATACAAACAGTGATTCATTAAAGTACATTACCAGAATACATGTATTTATTGAATGACTGCAAATATAACTGGGTGCTCCAATATACATGTATGTGTATGGCTAAGCTCAGTTGACAAAGGTTCTGGGCTTTATTAAGTCACAAATATATATAGGATTAGCCTCTTGTCGATGCCCTCGCGCTGTTGGAGTCTCTAAATTCTGACGAGCGAAGCGAGTCAGAGAAACCGAGGCGCTTGCGCTGAGGGCCTCTTGACAAGTGATCTGAATTATATATTCATGAGACCCGATTTCCTACTGAATTATGCATGTCTAGACCGCAGCGATTGTGTGTGTGTACGTGTGTGTTCGGGATCGCCCAACTAGGCTAGTCTGCAAGCACAGACCCTAATTTGACACTTTATCAAAAAATCATTGTGCCTTGAGAGAAGCCTAGCCCAGCTATCTACTGGTACCTACTGGTTGTACCAATATAGGTCAGGAGCAGCTATAGTACATGGCATATGGTAGTCTTATAGTGCACACTCTCTTTTACGACTGACCAGGGTTTGTGCTTGCAGACTACAACTAGGCGGCCAGTCTCGCTCTCACGGAGGGAATTCGCACAGAGCGGTAGATATTACGTCATAGTAGCTCTCTCTGATTGGATGACTTTCACCGAACTCTGCTGGGTCGGAATATTCGCCAAACAATGTAAAACATAAGAAATTCAGATCACTTGTCAAGAGGCCCTCAGCGCAAGCGCCTCGGTTTCTCTGACTCGCCTCGCTCGTCAGAATTTAGAGACTCCAACAGCGCGAGGGCATCGACAAGAGGCTAATATAGGATCTGCATGAGAGCTGCAAATAGGCTTTGAGCTTAGGTTTAGTCTTACGGTTTATTATAGATTTTAGTGCTGGGTTAAGTTCAGAAATCGGTTAGTTCAGGGTAGTGGGCGCAGAAAATGCATCAAAAAAGATTTATAGGACTAACTTTTACTATTATAGCCGTAGTACATGTAACTACTGCGTATTCATCTGAGTAATTGCATCCATCCAAAATATTTATGAACAAAAACAAACACAGGACGCTGAGTAATACCCAGCTCATCTTCAACATAACTACAATATGAAGGTTACGTTAATTTGCCAAATAGATTTTCAATTTCATTAATTTACATATACTTCTAGATCAACATGTATGTTTCTCTTTATATAACTTTTGTTTACTAGCTGTCATCATGTGATGAGGCTGGTGTGAGGCACTCAACATCATGAAGGCAGAGACTCTTGATCTGTACAGAAATTGAATGACTGAAATAGGTTTAACCCTATTTAGCCCAGGCTATTTTGAAACTGCATAGCCCAGGGGGGGGGGGGGGGGGGCTTCTAAGGCCCCCCCTATGATCTCGGCCGTGAAACGCCCGATCGTCGCGAAAAATTTGCAAACATGTCAATGGAATTGTATTGAATACTACCGGTATGGTAATTTCAATTTCTTTTTTTAATTCACTCAATAGCATATTTATGGTAATTTATGCAAATAAGGTCATCAAATTCACATTTTTGCCCATAAATCAGACATTATTCATATTTTAAGCATTCTTTCTCACTACATATATTTTTTAGACCATTTGGAACAATAATACAACACAAAAAATTGAAAAACCAGGGTTATTCCTTATGTTATCTATTGTTTTGATAATTTTTTATGTATTTCTTTGTTTTTTTTAACTTATGTATTTTATTGTTTTTATTGTTTTATTTTATTTCCAACTATAATTCAACTATTTGGACCCAAAAATAAACACCTAAACTATAAACAAGACCAAATAACCAAAGTTTTTTCTCTTTATTTGAAAAATGAGATTTCCATATGTTTTGTACACAAATCACAAAAGTGAGCGATTTTCGGGCTGACATGCAAAGACAAAATGACACGTGACTTCATAATGGTAGGTTTGATTTTCAAGAAATTTCTTTCAAAAGATGCGCAAGACTCGAAAGAAAAAAGTCACAAAATTTCAGTGCAAGATTTTCTTGCGTTAAAAAATTATCGCGTAAAATGTCGAGGGGGGGGGGGGGCTTCTAAAGCCCCCCCTCCCCCCCCCCCCCCCCCCCCCCCCGGGCTAAATAGGGTTAACACTGGTAGATGGAGGGGGAGCAGGAATTTTGTAAACATGTGGTCAGAGACCGCATCAATGAAAGGGTCTTGTTGGGGCTAGTATTTATTTGCACAGAGTAGTTTTCCCAATATTAATCCTTTGTATACTTTTATAAGTTAAATCAGACAGTGAGAAGTCAGAATGTGTATTATTTATATGTTTTAAAATACTTAGTACCTTCAGGTGATTTTTATGTACATTATAGTAAGATAAAAAGTGCATGAAAATATAAGGCCTTTGTCAAGAGTCAGGGATAGACAGTCCAATAGGATATGACCATACTGAAGATTCAGGTAAGAGGAAGATCAGGAATTCCTGAGCGTAGGAGCGAATTGCAGTGATTCTACTGTATTTTAGAGGTATGTGAATTAAATGCAAATCTTCTCAGTAAAATATTCAGTATAGCACCTTTTCATTGTAATTCAAATATTTAGACCAGCATTGCTAAAGATAATATTCTATTAGAGAGTTTAAAGAATGATAATTTTATTTACAAGCGTAAAATGATTATGATGATTATAATAATAGATGTTATATTGTACATGAAAGTGGTCTAGCTATAGAACATATACATTCCTTACTATAATTTTCCTTTGTGGTTCGTATTATGTGGCCTGCTATGTTTTAATAATTTGTATGTACTATAGTTCTGTTGAATGAAGACATAATACCATCAAGGCAACAACAAAATAGCTGAATACCTAGGGGGCAAAACCTTAATTTGGGGGGTTTTGGTCGGGATGTTGTAGGTCGGTCGGTATAAACATGATCAGAGGATCTTCCTGCACAATTTCTAGGTGGACTACCCTGACAATATTTTTCTGGAAAAAAAATAGTCAATAATTAGAAGATAATTTTGTAACAGAACATCATTTTACCATGCATGTGGTATCAATGAAAGAAAATTAAATTATCTACAAGATGATACCACATTCATGATGATTGAATTTATTTTACATAATAATAATAATAATAAATAATAGGATAATTATATAGCACCAGTATCCGCCAAGCTCTGACGCTCATGGTGCTTTACGCATATTACCCTGGTCGTAGCCGAGCTGCCAAAGTAACTAGTGCTGAATAATATCAGGTACCCATTTACACCTGGTGGAGTTATTTCTCTATATTTCAATCACTTTTGAAACTGAAGAATTAAAAATATATAGAAAACATTCCTAATATTAGTTGAATACGATCTGAAAATTACAGGTTCGTTGATTTTTATGTAAAAAAATGTATAGCGTAGTAAAGTTCATTTTGGACAATATGCACAGACCAGTTCCTTGATGATACGTTTAACGTGCGTCGTCATTGCCGCATATCTGTCAGGTTTGCCCTTGCAACTGAAACGTGAATCATCTAAATTGCATTCTATCCTTTTTCTTAATGATTGAAGGGACAGTGAACGGTTGGGCTGGGCGATGGGGGAGACACAAGTGACAGGGGCAATTCATAAATTCCCCCCAAAATTAGTAATTCTGATTTGTAATTAATACAAATTGTGTAAGGTAATTGTAGAATCTTGGTTTTTGTATGACATGGTCAAATAAAACATAGAATCCTGTCTGGATCTACAAATATTTTAATGAAGTTCTATAAATGACTAATCCAGAAAAACAGAATATTCCGGATTATTTGTAAGGGTTGGCAGGTATGTAATATTAGTTGAATATGATATGAAAATTACAGATGTTTTGCTTTTCATGTAAAAAAAGTTATAGCATAACAAAGTTCATTTTGGACAATATGCAGTTTAGTTCCCTGAAAATACATTTAATATGAGTCATCATTGCCGCATACCGTATGTGTCAAGTTTGCAACTGAAACATGAATGATTAATTGCATTCTTCCCTTTTTCTATAAATGACTAAACAGAGTTGTTAGCAACATCAGAGAGACAGGAAATCAAACAATACAAGTACATTTCAACTAATAGAATGATGAAGAAACTATCAGAAACTTCCTAACCAGCTTGAACCTTTTGGTATGAGGTAGGAATTTCAGTTGCAGGTTTGAGGATGTAGTAAGTTTTGCTAACTCAAATCAGAATATTTTTACTCTTAGCAAACTTTTGGATTATTGATAAAATATTATCTAGCAGCTTTTTACAGAATTTCCATATGTAATCATCTGGCATCACTATGGAGCAATCCTGAAGATTCTTCTCAAGGACTCTGTATTAAAACATTACCTGATGTAAATATAAGAGAAAGTGAACCAATAAATATATAGTTTCTTATACTAGTTCCACTTTAACACTTGTAGATTAGAATAAACCTTAATATAATGTAGCATAAATTTTGTTCCATCTTGTGTTTTGGATCACAACACTTAAATCGGATTTGCAACCTTTTGTGATGACTTTACATGTTTGTTACATCCAATGCTCCTGTTAATCCAATACTAATATACCTATTACCCCCATCTCAATGTTGTTTTATAATGGATATAGGTATAAGAGGGTGACATTGACCAAAGCAACCTCATACTAGATGAATTTCAGAATTCCTGGGTCTGTCCTTTAAGATCTTACAAGAATTACAAGAAAGAGTGAAAGTTTGCCTGCTAATGTAAAGTAACATTTCAAAGTTAGGTTTATATGAAATATAAATACAGTGCAACTATTATTCAAATGATACACCCCTCTATATTATAGGTTCCTACAGCAAGATGAGTAACCAGCCAAGAAAACGTGTGGCAGATAGTGCCATGTCCATGAAGCATGTGCCTGCTAAGAAGTCTTCCAAAGATATGAGCACTGACTACACAAAATGCATCATATGCCAACAAGAATATGTGATAAGCCTATTCTTCATCCAGTTACGTGTGTAACAACATATATGAACAAATTTAAGGCTCTTCGCATTCTGGTCGGTCAAAGTTAAACCCTTATGATGTTGTAGATGAGCTGGAAGCTCCTCTTTTCCAGCTCCTGGTCTGTCCACATTCCTCGTAGAATCATCCGCGTAAGGTACCGAGACATTCTTGAGGAGCTTGGTGTCGATAAAGGAGATAAATACCGGGCGACCATCTTGAAACATACATTACATGAATACTATGGGTCACATATTTTGGTTCTCAATCAAACCAAAGGTTCAGGATTTATATGTGCTTCCACATTACCACTTGGTGACGCACTGAAAAAACTGAGGCGCCTAGAAGGAGATGATATCGAGGGAAAACACCATACACTCCTGCAAGCATCAAAGATTCTTAGAGCAGATTGTGAAGTGTAAGAAAGAGATGTGTGAGAAAAATTCAACTGAGATTTCATTCACATCTGCATACAATATGGTTCCAGACTCACTCACTCTTCAGATGGCCATGCAGACTGAGGACATTCTGCTTATGTGGCGCCTCGGTAGAATGATCACAACTTCGCAACTGGTGGATGCTCTTAGAGTTTTAGAAACGGGACTTCCGGGCTTTTCCTCATTCCGTGCTGACCTCCATCCACATAGACAGGCTAGAATCATTGGCTATCTTCCTCTGATCCCATCTCCTGACCCTACTGTACTAAAGGAAATGATGATTTGACTTGTCAGGACATCACATGCACGTGGTAACAAATACACAATTATAACTGGAGATCAGGCTACATATGAGCTCGCTGTAGCCATCAGAGACAAGCATCGTAGTGAGTTCAGCAATGTGGTCTTACTGCTGGGTGGCTTTCATCAAGCTCACAACTACATGAAAGCAGTTTGCAAGATCATCAGGGCAGCAGGTGCAGAAGATCTATTCGGTGCAGCTGGTCTGTGCCAGAAAGGAGCTGCCAAGCAGATGTTTGGTGAGAAGGTCACCTACTACCAGGCCCTACATGCAAAACTTCGAAATGCTCCAAATTGTCTCAACTTCATTTTGGATATGTTTTAGGCCATTTTAAGCATTTCGCAAAAAAACATGCAGATGCGCATGTTTTTGAGCGTACTGGCATTTTGCAACAAAGAATCGCAGCATTTTCTCTGGCATCATATTTGGCACATTTTTCCAAGCATTTTGATACCTTGTTCACCTTTTTTTTACCAGTAATAACGCAATGAGCGTCCGTTTAAGATACATGTCCGTGCGTGGGGCTCTTGTAATATATGGCATATATGGGCAAAAACATGCCTATACAAAATCCACAGCTCTTTAACGATGCAAGGTGACCCCAATTTCTTTTTCATATTTGGATAGATTATGAGTCAGAGATATGATTTCATGTCTCATTTGACCCTCAAATAACTCTTGACGTCATCATAATGCCCTCCGAACTCAAAATTTCAATTTGCATATTATGACGTCAGCATATTTTTTAGAAAATTTATTGTATCTCTGTAAATATTGATTGATTTTCTTCCAAATTTTGATATGTTCTAGCTGAGACAATACTCTACAAATGCACTTAAATGATTTTTCATTTTGACAAAGGCATCATGGCGCATTTGTGCGATTAAAGGAGGCATGTCAATTTTTCACATTTTGCGTGCATTCTATATGGGACATGACTTTTTTTCTTCAAAACTGGATTCTACATTCCCGTCTCTCGCGAGCAATATCTCCTTCGTTTCGGCTTCGTTTTCGCTGAGCTTCGAATATGTTGTAGCTGAGACAATAAGCTATCACTTGCAAAGTGGAATTTGAGAATTCCATTCTCCGTTCACGTGTAATCGCTATGGGAAATGTTTTGGTATATCGGAAACGCACTTGTCTTCCGACCTAGAGATCACTGGTTCGAGTCTGGGCGTCTCCACCAATTTTTTTCTTCACTTTTTTTTCTTTTTGACCTTTCACTGATCATAAGAATTGAAGACAGACCACCTAATTCGTCCTCATGACGATTTAAATTTCTAGTTTATTTTTACAATCTAAATATTTTCTTTTATGATTGACACTAGGTCTTTTTTTTTTTTTTTAGCTATTTTCATATAAACTATATTTACGTTTCACTGAATTCAATATTACTTGCGTAATCCAAGGTTTCCATAAATTACCATTGAGTTGTTTGATTAATTTAATTGGAAAACAGTCATTATATTTGGAATAGAATTTTTGTAAAGAAAATATCATAAGAGTCATTTGAACTTTCACAAGTATAGACTTCTGACCAATCAATGGATGATAAACTTGCTTTAAACACTGACATTGTTGAATCATTAATAATGCGTCTTTTAATGTATTTGTTACCATTCTTTACAATTCTTTCACTTGCAATTGAAAATACTGGAAAATGACCAGATAGATCATTATAAATGAATCCTGTATATTTTTCTTCCTGTATGGTATTTGTAAATATGTTATCTATCAAAGATGCTTTATTTTCAGTGATGCGAGTTGGCTTGTTATTACCCGGTAAGGGAAGTAAATTAAAAGAAAGCATCATATCTAAAAAGTCATTTGTTTCATTATGGATACCATAATTAAGCAATTTTACGTTAAAGTCCCCTAAAATATATGTAAGGCAAACTTTAAAAGTAAAGTTCTTTTACGAAACATCATATTTTCGACTCAAGCTTTATGAATTCTGTATCAAACACTGCACATAAAGACACTCATTATAAAAAAAACTTTCATATGTCTGCTAAGACTATTGTATATTTCCATATAAAACATTACCCAAATTGAAAAAATATTGATTATTGCTAAAATATCATAACTGCTTGAACTCATCTCCACTGCTACATGAATTCATCATGGCATAGATATAGAGTACAAACACATACACACCTGTAAGGTTGATGCCTTTTCATTCAATATACAAAAAAAATCCTCCTGGAAATCCTTCCCACCTAACGTCATACAATACAGGTACATTACCAGACTGCATGTTTTAATTGAATGACTGCAAATATACCTGGGTGCTCTGATATGGCTATGCTCAGGTGGCAAATGCTCTGTGCTTTATTTATTAAAATATACAGGATTTGGATTTAAGGGCTGTAAATAGGTTTGAGCTTTTGTTTAGTTACAAGTATACTTTGGTTAGTGCGCAGGATAGTGAGCTGAGCATGTGTCCAACAACACAAGGACCGACAATTACTACATACTACATAGTGATGAATTTAAGGATTATATGATACCAGTTACCACTCCATTGCGTCTTCATCTTTACTCACGATCCTTATTCTCTCTTTAATCTAACTTGTCAATTTGAGAAAACAGCTCATACTCCTCATTTCTTCTTTATATTTATTTGCCAAATAGAGGACACCATCAATTCCAGAGCCAACATAACTTCATTTTCTGACTGTAAAAACAGTGATTTATCACGATTTTCAAGCGATTGATGTTCTGCGTCTTGACAAAGTGCCCACCCCCCCCTCCCATAGGCTAGACTACGGCATTACAATATTTTCACTCACCTTGGACTTATTTCCTTCTTTAGCAAGAACTTCAAAGAAATCACTGTGGAAGGAGGCAACGTCTAGTGTAACATCCTTTAGAGAGGGCACAGAGCATATAATCTCTGCCACATCACGTGATATAATTGGTCCAAAGTGTCCATCTACCCATTGATCGATCTTAAATCAAAAGCCAAAACAAAAAACAAAACAAACACAAAATTATAATATGAGAAAATCAGAGTCCATAGCTAAACTTTAAAGGGCCGCTCTAACCAAACTTACATAGCCTTTCATAACATGAATACACCTCGACTTATTAATATTTTAGCCTCTGACTTTTCAGAAAATCTCTAAATTGACAAAAAATGACAATAACCATCCATTTTTCACAGTTCTCACTTTTGTTAGGATATGCCCCACGAAAAAAGGTAATATGGTCACGTGGCTTGATGACACATTTGACGTCATTGCAGGCATGTCCAATCCGATAATTTCATAATTATTAGGAATGATGAAATTGACAGAAACGTACTGGGATTATCAAGTGCATATTATTTTTCGGATAAATGTCTTTTTTTTCTCAATTAATATCATAGTTTGCTTTTTAAAGACATTTTAATGCCTAAATCACCCTCCATTTCACTGGAGAGGGGCCTGCAGTGACGTCAAATGCGTCATCACTGAAACTGGGCTTATTTTCTGCGCGTTCTGAGTCGTCATTTTTAAAGCTAGATTCCAGAATTATTGATGATTTCTAAGAAAAATCTTTGTCATGTTCGGAATCTCCGTCAACAAATATTCTACATGTCTTTTTTTTCATTTTTTAGCCTGTTTTGGTTAGAGTGGCCCTTTAAGACTAACTCAATTTTTTGTATGCTTCTGTCACTCGGCCTGCATTAAGATTTTCTTAATGAATGATTTAAATTACAGAATGTGTAATTTTTACAGTGGTACATATCATCAGAGTAGTGCTATGAAGCCTATGATCCCAATTTTTTTGGGCAAAGGAAGGTCTGGTATAACATTTTGTCTGTATTTAATGCAGCATAGTTAAGAAAGGCTATTTTCAAAGGGCCCTACATTATTCCCTTCATCAATTACTCTGAAGTCTGAGCATCAAATTATCGAGAGGACTGGGTGCAGCAAAACTAAAGTGTAGAATGCACCTTCAAGAAGATGGCGTTTTTTCTGACCAGAAAAGGGTTGGTAGACTAATAAAACGCATTCAAATAGTACTGTTGATATTTATCATATACCTATAACATTGATGGGTATATAAAATGATACTGCCCAGTTCCCAATTATTATCACAATGCCTGAGCTGGAGACGAGGGCAATATATTTTACTCCCCCCCCCCCCCACCCCCAGTGAATAATCATCATTAGTGTATTTATCCACTGTAACTCTTATCTCTTATCCTACCATAATGAATACAGCCCATTGTGCCACAGGGCTAATCCCCAATGTGCCAAGCCTCAAATCCCCTGGCCAAGTTAATTTTGAGATAATCGGATTAACGCGATGGTACTATAGCGCGTGCGAAACACTAGGCACAGTGCAATGGGCATGAACAATAACTGCTATTAGGAATGCAAGCATGCATGCACAAAGCAGATATTAAAGCGGTAGCTCGTTCGCATGAATGAAGCAACCAATCTAGAGCGCGCTAGCGTGTACAAAGCACTATAACGGTAGTGTGCAAGCAGCCTTACGGCAGGATATGACTTAAAATATCACTAGTGTCAAATATTGTACAAAAGACATCTCCTTGAAGACATGTACAAATTGGTAGTTAATGTTTCCTTCTCTTCACTTTCTTTCTCTCCTTCTTCTTCTTCTTCTTCCAGTATAGTACAGACCGCCGTTGGCGTATTATCGTACCTTGTGCTTGTCAAGTGCCGAGTGTACAGTGCAAGTAAAAAGGCTCTACGAGAAATCTATGTGCAGCTAAAAACAGTCTGAAGCTCAACGGAGCTTTAATAATGTGTTGCACCTTCTGCTTGAAAAGTTCCAAAGAGGTGCAATCGACGACAGCAGATGGTAAGGAGTTCCACAGTCGGATAGTATCTCCTAAATGTTATTCTGATTATGAATTATTTGGTACTTTCTCAATTTGATTTTGTATAGTGCTCTTTATATCCCTGCCACTTTAATTTACACAAAATAATTATGTCGTTTATTTTATACATGTTGTTAAAAAGTGGAAATAAAATGATTTGATCTGATTATACCACAGGTTATCAGGTATAAGCTCCTGGATGTTAGAGAGTGGAAAATAGGCATATTAAAGACCCATTCTTATTAACTAGATGGATCTTCGACTGTGCACGGTCAAAAATGGTGCCTCCACTATAGAGCGATTTTTCAAACCAAAACAGAAGCAAATTTTTAAAGTTCAAGTTTGATTGTAATCCATTTGCAGGTCTCAGAATTATCATGCTTACAAGCTATTTTTCATATACATGTATGACCCTTTGATCTTTGACCTCATGACCCTAAAATCTAATCAGTTCATTGGCTCTGCAAGATAATTGTACATACATGTCCCGAGTTTGATAGTAATCCATTAATCGATTCTTGAGATGACACGATCATGAGAACTGGACGTACAGACGGATGGACGATCCAAAAACATAATGCCTCCGGCTACTTCGTTGCGGGGGGGGGGGGGGGGGGGGATAAAAATGCATGTCTATAGATGCCTGATAGATTGCAATTAAAGGGGAAGTCCACCCTGATATTAAGTTGGTTTTAATAAAAGCAGGAAAATGAGAGAAACAAATTATTGAAAGTTTGAGCAACATCCAATTTAAAATTGGAGAAAATTATGAATTTTAAATGATTTTTAATCATTTTTTGCTCAAACTGTCACTGACCTGTTTTTCTCTTTTTAACCAACTACATTGTAATATCAGAGTGGGCATTCCCTTTAAATAATAATACTTATTAATGTACAGGGCTCAAATTAATTTTTTGTCCACGGGGGCTCTTCCAAAGAAAAAAGAGCCCCCGTGAGCCTTCTCACGGGGGCTCTTTTAGTGCTGACGGGGGCTCTTATTTTAATACAAATTTCCATTCAATTTGTACCCAAGAAACTCCTTGGTATTTTACTATTATTTATTTAAGTCGGCATTTTCCCTGTTAGAAATTTACTTGTTACATTGCTGTTATTGACTTATATCCCGTGATGACATTCTCTCCATTTCTTCCCGTTCTGCACATAATTTCCTCCTCATCATTCGAGCAACCTTATTTACATTCTTTCTTTACTTTTATTCTTTACCATATCCTTCCAAAACACAGGGGCGGATCTATCTTTTTGTTAAGGGTGAGGGGGGGGGGGTAACCCAAATACGATGTGGAGCATCGTCCACGAGCCGCGAGTCGATTTTTGTTTTTGCTATTTTGAACCCCCGTAAGTGATGTTTTCCGTAAGTGATGTTCTGCTAACATGCGGAGCATCGTCCACGAGCCGCAAAGCGGCGAGGCGATTTTTTGGTACTTTTTTGAACCCCCGTTTATAGTGATGTTTTTCTGGCATCTACTAATGCTGTGTAGGTCTGGACACATGATAGCATTTTTCTATGCACATCACATTTTCACTTGACAGCCCAAGGGGGGAGGGGGGTTAAACCCTTAAACCGCCTAGATCCGCCCCTGCAACATCTTCTTCTTCTTCTCAATATTGATATACTGATCGAGTTACATTATTTGCTGGTCTTTTAGAATCACCAGATTTCAGAGGATTCACACTTTTCACAACGAAAAACTTCTCAATGTTTCAGTCTTTGCGCGATCGTCTCCTGCTCCAGCAGATATTGGGCTTCAGAGTGCTCACCGTTACTACCGGCGCAGTATAGCCACTGCTGATGGCCGCACTAGCTGCATGCACTGCAAGCTTCCGTTGTATTTATCGGTAATACTCATAGAGATGGGAGAGAAGGTGCCATCTAAGTTCCATTTCATTAGTTTAAGGTTTGAAAATTGCTACTCAATATTGTGTTAAAGGTATATCAGAAAAGATAATCTTTATTTTATAATTCCACGGGGGCGATTTTTAATTTTACAATCGCCCCCGTGAGCAACATGACGGGGGCGATTATGGAGCTCACGGGGGCGAATCGCCCACCGCCCCCGTGTATTTTGAGCGCTGTTAATGTATGTAAGATATCAAACTTACCGCATCTCTGTGTACACCTAGTCCGGTGAATATAAAACCTGCTATGGTGTGTGCTGTCACGGATGGGTGTATTTCCAGATACGACATTCCACCCCTCGCCAAGGCTGCAGTATCTAGGTCCTGACTCTCAAAGGATACATCAACCAACAAATCCACATCCCAGCTGTTTTGGATGTCACCCTGTACCATGCATTTCATGACATGGTGTGCAATGGTTTTGTCCCGTGATACAGTGAAGTACAGGAGATGCCTAAACTCTCCGCTCCTAGGCAACACTACTTGCTCAATCAGCCTGTTGAATTCATTGTGATCTAATTCATACAGGGAAGCAAGATGGACCGCAGCCATGTACTCCTGAAAGAGTTTGTGTGGAAAGAAGAAAGTAGACTGCAGGAACGGACTGCTTTTATCATGTATAGATGACAATTTTTTCTCCTTAGACAACACCCCCACTCTGCAAGCTGTTTCAATGGAGTCTGAGCACTGTTCAAAATCCTCTTCTTTAAAAATAAGAGTTTTTTCTTGTAGCCCAATGAATGCAACTTTGGCAACTGGTTCCATGAACTTCTCAATTCGACAGCGAAAGGCTTGGAAATCTTGGCTGTCTAAATCTGTGATCTCTTTCTGAGCATAATGCACCTTCAAGAATTCGAACATTTCATCAAATATTTGAGAAAAGGTTTGAAATGACTTCAATTTTTCCAATTTTACGTCACTAACTTTTCTCCACATAAGACAGAGCATAGCTATGTAGATGGGATACTGGGCCATATTCTCAGAGATGATGTCATTGTCCTTGGTTAATTGGATAAGCTGATCTGCTTTGGCCACATCTTCTGGAAAGTACTTGTGAATGTAACCCTCCACACTATTCTTGCTAAAACCTTCCACATGAATGAAAGTGTACAGGTTCCTCAGAATATCATTATCTCTTATCTCTGTGACCTTCCATGGGCGACTTGTCACCAACACCGGGCAAGTGGCAAGTTCATCTGAACGCAGAATGTCTGTAAGTGCAATGTCACCTCTCTCTGAAGAACTTCTACTTGCCTCTGCACTGGTGACTCTTGGCTGCGAAGTGGCACTTGATGACTTTGGCTGCATCAACTTTTGCCGCTTATTCTTGTTCTTCTTGTACTCTGATCTTGCCTTGGTTTGATCAGCAGGCTTTGGCTGGTGACATTCTGACTTTGAACCAGCTTCCCCCTCCTGTACAACCTTGCCCTTAAACTCATCTAATCCATCAAACGCGATGAATACTTTAGTTGGATTTGACCGGATGTACTCAGTGATCTGGCTGGCTGTTGCTGGGTTGTCCTTGGAGAGATATGACTTGGCAATCTCACCGATCGTGTATTGTTTGGCTTCACGAAAAGGGACAACAAGTACCCACACAAACTTTTGGAGAGCAAGACTGTCATTTATCCAGTCCCAGGCAATCTTAGAACAGAATGTTGTCTTTCCAGCCCCAGCCTCTCCCTGAACCATGATCCGCTTGGGGAACTCTCCATTGACTTCGAGTTTAAAGAGATCACTGTACTCAAGTTCCCGCTTGCAGTTTTTTCGATATTCCTCTTTCAGGACAAGGTTTGTGTACATGTCTTTTAATGGTACAATGGAATCAGGGTCGAGAGGGTCATCTCTGATCTTACAGAAAGTTGTCCGGTACTTGAATTTGAAATCATCTGCACATCTCTTGATCAGGTCAGGAGAAAGTGATTGGGTTGGTGATCCTGGCCTTATAACAGGTGCACCTTTAAATTTAATAATAGAAGTGTGATAATTTTTTCTGAATATCAAAATGTTTTTTAAAGGATATGCTGAACGTATGCACATGAACATAAAATCAAAATTCTAATGTGTTTATTGTTTGTCAACTTTACATTTTCATGTTTTTTAGTCCTGCTGTTAGAGCACCAACATTCCATGAGAACAGATAATAATTTATTGTCTTTGCAGCTTAATTTCTGCACATCATACATGTATACTACTGTTGATTCATGACATGTTTGTTTTCTTTTCTAAGTACCTCAATAGAATTTGTCTTTTTATATGAAGGTATAGACATGTCCATCGTTAACAGTACGAACAACAATGACGAACCTTATAAACCTTATATATTATAGCTCAAAGTACAATTCCACTCAATATAGAAAGAACTGAGAGACATGTAGATTTCCTTTTGTTTTTGTAGACAAAAATCAGAAATTCTCCATTTTGGGGCTGACATAAGGTCACAAAAGATAAAAAGACTCTGTAATTTTCATAAACCTGGTGTCAAAAGATGAGCATGACTTGAAAAAAAATAGTCAGAAAGTGGCTGGGCTTGAAATGCCAAGAAATTTGAATGATGATCCTTGTACAGCTTCATGTAAAACATGTCATCATCTCCCTTACACAGCACATAGTGAGTGGGTCTGTAACCATGTATTAATGACCACAGCCCATGCGACCGACAGCCCACAAGCCCGACATATCTGTCTAGCGAACCATCTGAAAAGCTGTAAGAAGGTCCATGAGACCAACAACCCATGGACTGACAACCCACAAAACTGAAATGTTGGTCTCATGGGTGTTCTGACAACTATTTTTAGGGTTCAACAGACTGGCAGTATCAGTCTCGTGGGCTGTTCGTCTACTGGGATGTCCTGCTATAAAATTACCCTATTTGTACCAACAAGGAAGTGTCAAATAAGTGTTTGTTGGCTGCCTGCAAGAGCAATAATTTATCAATGGCAGTAAAGGCCTTCTTGCGGGCAGCCGACATGATTTCCTTCTTCTTCTCACCTGTTTGCTTCAGGACTAGACTGCCAGCGAGAAGTTTGCCGGAGAGGGACCCTAAGCCACTTCTTTCTAATTCCCCTGCTAGAAGAGCCCTGATGTCTGTGCCTGGAGGCTGTTTGTCTCTCCATCTTGTGAAGACTGTCATCAATGCATCACTGGTATTTTGGCTCTCTTTCTCGATTTGACCAAGCTCTGCAATGGAGATGTCCAGGTTAATGCCCACCTCTTTGTAGTGGCTTGGTTCAATTTGCTTGGACAGCTTTAAGAATTCCTTTTCACTGACAATCCTGTAATTAAAAACAAGAGTTTATCAAGCATCTCTTAAGTATCTCTTAAAGCCCTTCTTAAGTGTTGGGAGCCCCAAATTCGCCACTATTTGGAGGCAAAATTTCACCTTAATTGTAAAGATTTTCCCCAAAAAAATGTGTTTAAAGATAAATATTGATAAAAAGAAAAAATAATTTCTGTTTTCTGTTGTACGCAAAAAGCCTAGATTTTGTATTCTTTCATCAATATTTGACATCAACACATTTGTTTTTAAAATCCTGCAGAAATGTGTTTAAAATGAAATCCCTTTTCACATTATGATACAATTTAAGTGAAATTTTGCCATCAAATTCTTGGGGCTCCTAACACTTTAGAGGGGACATAAGTGTCTCTTATTGTGTTGTAACTTCTACTGTAAAATTCATTAAAGCACCTTTCTTCATACTTTGTAAGTTTAGTTCAGTTCTTGATGAGCTTTTGGGCGAAACAGACCAAACAACTAACTACATGGCAGAATAAACTACTCCAGCCTACAAATATGTACACTAGCTCCTACAGCTGAGCACTATTAGTACCTGCAGCTTCATGAGCATACCTGATTTTATTAAGCTACATGTACTGATTTATTCAAAGGTATATTGAAGCATATACACACAAGACTTATACCTTATTGAGCAGTGCACTTGAATATGGAAGAAAAATTGGCATGCATGTATGTGGTGTTATGGTTTAATAGTGAGAAAAATACTTAACATCCCTACTGCTCATTACTGTTGCAATAAAGAACTGGAAATAAGTTCAAATACATATAGACTGACCTGTCTGGTCCAGGGTTGGTTTCAACATCACCAGATCTCACCAGGAGGATCATGAGCAGATAGAGAAGGTAGAATCCATCCATGGTGCAAGATGTTCTTCTCATTCGACAGAAACACAGTCCGCTGGAAAGGTATGAGTGATAACCCCAGCAAGACATCCTGTAATTGACAATAAAAAAGGGGGATTCTACTTACTATGCATATATTAAAGTGACGTGTATTTACAGTGTACATGAAATGGATTACTTTTTAAAGCTTTTTTTCCTTATCCAAATATTTGCCTCTTGACTTGTGTGATATAATACTGAACTATATTTAAAGATAAAAGGGGTTGGAATGTATGGGGCACCAAGTGTTACACATGTGATTGTGTCACAAAATGAATGTTTTTTTCACAAAATCAATATCACCAAATGATTTTGTCACAAAAGCAATATCTCCAAGTGATATCGTGACAAAATCAATACGTGAGATTGCTTTTGTGACAGAATCACATGTCTTACATTTGGCACCACATAGAAATGTATTGTGAAGATCTAGCTTATATTTGGGAAAGGGGGAGGGGGTGTACCCATTCTGACAAAATATATATATTTAAAGGGTTTAAGAATTAAAGCTAATAAAATATTATATTGGGATTATTCTGATTGTATAGGGTGTATATACAAAGAAATGATATTATGGGAATTGACACAAGAGCATGGTGATGTCATATACAGCTGTAAATAGATTTCAACAAAAGTGACAAAACACACTTGCACAAGACCCCCCTGGAATTCTTTATTATTATTCTTATTTTTGTCTTTGACTGCCGAGGCTGTGAGTCAGTGTTTAACTGACCCGAGTGAGCAAAAATAAAAGATTTGTGAGGTCCCAGTGTGAAAAATTACAACTTATAAAGAGGACAAAAAACAACTCTGATAGAGTTTTAAGCACAAGCTAATGAAGAAAGACTGAATAGTTCTTTATAGGTAACATAATTATAACAACTATAAATGCGAGTGTGCATAGCGAGCAAGCTATAATGAAAATTTATGCAATTTAAATGTAAATCTAAGTTGCTTTAAATTAGGGGTGCATGTTAGGCTCAATGTCACTATTCATAAGGATCGCTTTTCATAATTTGAGAAAAGGGTCATTCATAAAAGTCATTATTCATAAGGACCACTATTCATAGTCAAAGAAGAGGGTCGCTATTCGAAATTGAGTTCGTTATTCATAAGGGTCCCTATTCATAATACTAGAAAAGGGTCGCTTTTCACATAACATGTGAAGAAGGTCGCTATTCATAGTACAAGAAGAGGGTCGCTATTCATAAAACGACGGCAGGGTCGCTATTCATCATACGAAATGACGGTCGCTATTCATAAGGACCATTATTCATAAGGGTCATTATTCATAATATGAGAAGAGGGTCGCTATTCATAATAAGAGAAGAGGGTCGCTATTCATAGTTAGAAATGAGGGTCGTTATTCATAATAGGAAATGAGGGTCGATCGCTATTCATAATAGGAAATGAGGGTTGCTGTTCATAATACAAAATGAAGGTTGCTATTCATAATACGAAATGAGGGTCGTTATTCATAATACGAAATGAGAGTCGCTATTCATAATATGAAATGAGGGTCGCTGTTCATAATACAAAATTAGGGTCACTATTCAAAATAAGAAATGAGGGTCGCTATTCATAATACAAAATGAGGGTCGCTATTCATAATACAAAATGAGGGTTGCTATTCTTAATAAGAAATGAGGGTCGCTATTCATAAATGAATTGAGGTTCGCTATTCATAATAGGATTAGAGGCTCACTATTTATAACACAGAATGAGTGAGGGTAAAGATTCATAAAAATGAAATAGGCCTAAGCAATACACAAAATGCTAATAACAAATGGACACCCCCACGACTGTGGCGTAGCTGTGGGGGGGGGGGGGCGACACATGGCCCTGAATATATATATTTTTTTTTAATGTAGGTTTATTTTTACCTTTTATATTTGATAATTTTATAGAGACATCCCCCGCTCCTGTGATGACGAAATATAACACACATATAATCCTATATATCATCCTTGTTGGAAATCTTGCCCCACCCCTGCCCCCAACTGATCTTATCCAGGCTACCCCACTGGGACATTAAGTAGACGAAGCAGGCCCATCATCATATTTTTAAGGACTGAGTTTGCTTTTAAAGAAACTAGTACCGGTAATTGCTTATAAAACAATAATGTTTTTGTAGAAAGTAGCTTTTAGTGGGACTTATGGGCCTACAAATTATATAGCAGGGTTGGACCGGACCATGAGCCTATTTACTGCCAAGAAAGAGGTGAGAGGGGGGGGGGGGCACTTTAGAATTATGTTTTGTTTGAGGGATAGGGGGCTTGAACACTTTCGGACCTTGGAATGTTTTCGCGTCATGTATATTATAGCGTACAAAGAGGTAATGCAATCCGAATATGAACCAAACATTTATTATCTTTTTTCTGTTGGGGGTGAGGGCGATGGTGGTGGTGGCGATGGTGATGGTGATGGGTAAGGAGGTCTGATAAGGTCTACATAGTGCCCCCTAAAAAGAGTAAAACATGCGGTGACCAATTTGTTTTTGTTTTTATTTAGGGGTGGGATATCTAGCCCTCGTAGAAACAAGGGGGCAGGATATAATGATAAATACAGAACAAACACAGGAAAAATGCGGAATTTAAACATAAATATGCATGCAGGTTCAGAATCCTCTTTTTCTTATGTTAGTTGAGAGCTGAGTTGATGAGATAGCCACCTGTCAGTGACCTGGCTGAGTGGTCTAATTCCTTCTGGCCCAGTAGTATTGACGGTCTTTAAACTCCAGTCTCACTCTCTGGCCAGTTTCGTGATAGTGGTGAAGTTAGTAGTTTTGTGTAAATCTGCTTTCGAAACTAGGGGAAGATTCATTAAAAAATGCTGGATACTACAACTATATTGGAGGTGCAGGCGCGGATCTACGGGGGGGGGGGGGGGTTTAGGGGGTTTAAACCCCCCCCCCCCCCCTTGGGCGCCCCCAAAAAAAAAAAAAAAAAAAAAAAAAGGGAAAAAAAAGAGAAAAAAAAGAAAAAAAGAAAGAAAAAAGAACGCACGCTGGAGAGAAACCCTTTCAAGTGCAAATATTGTGAGAAGATATTCAACTCATCTGGTAACTTAACCAAACACATGATAACTCTGGATATAACTGTGTATTTAACTGTTACTTGATTTAAAAAGACGTTATCATGCACTGCTTTTTATGGTCTCCATTGTGTTAATAGATGCCAGGAAAACATCACTTACGGGGTTCAAATAAACACCCCAAAAAAAATCGGCTCGCCGCTTTGCGGCTCGTGGACGATGCTCCGCATCGTCATTATTTTATTTAACTGTTACTTGATTTAAAAAGACGTTATCATGCACTGCTTTTTATGGTCTCCATTGTGTTAATAGATGCCAGGAAAACATCACTTACGGGGTTCAAATAAACACCCACAAAAAATTTCGGGCGGGGACCGGGTACCCGAAATTTTCACCACTGCACCGACACTAAAAATCGTGTGCATGCAACGGCGGGAGTTAGACTAAATTGCAGTTACTACTTTCAAAACAATAAAATAATCCATTGAATTAAATTAAGATGCTTTAAAAAATAAATGGATATCGTTTCAGTTGACGGTAGGTGTTTTTATCGCTCAAAATTGGGGCTGCAAAAAAGGAATTACGCTTCGTGCGTGGTACCTAGTAGTGCGTTCAGAAACGGAAGTGGAAATATGACCCACTGAAGACTGAGTAAGCCCCACACACAAGACTAAAATGTTGATCAGACTATTGCAATTAAATCGTAATACTAATAGGCATTAATTTAATTGTCAAAATATGTCCACAAAATAATGGTTTACGACCCTTGATAATTTGATGAAGGAAAATAATTTAAAGCCCTTGAAATATAGCATCGAAGTGCCTTCCGTTCGTTCTAAAAATGCGTGTACAAACGGCAAGCTGAAGTTACGAGTCAAGTTTTGTTTACATATATTCCTATACACCGCCATCCGAGCTGATCGGAACATTAAGCATTAAACCAATTAAAAACATCACGTAAGACTTTAAGGGACTCCAAATCAACAAAATTACCGTAAAATAATTATTTGCTTTGACAAATAATACTATAGATATTCATATTATCTTACAGAAATAATGATATTTCATGAGCTACGTACTCGATATCGAGTTCAGCTAGCCACCAATATGAAATGAGACGTAGTTGTCATGCAGTAAACTGTAGAGGGCGGTAATGCAGCAGAGAGAGGAAAAAGCGCGGGACTGAGATCACGTGATATTCACGTGCCTATTACGTGATTTTTTTTCCTCCCTGCGAGCAGCCGCATTCTCTGCATGACAACTACGTCTCATTTCAAAATGATGGCTAGCTGAACTCGATATCGAGTACGTAGCTCATGAAATATCATTATTTCTGTAAGATATTATGAATATCTATAGTATTATTTGTCAAAGCAAATAATTATTTTACGGTAATTTTGTTGAATTGGAGTCCCTTAAAGTCTTACGTGATGTTTTTTAATTAGTTAAATGCTTGTTGTTCCGATCAGGTCGGATGACGGTGTAGGGATGTAAACATGCATATCAAGCTTGACTCGTAACTTCTGCTTGCCGTTAATTTTATACACGCATTTTTAGAACGAACGAAAGGCACTTCGATGTTATTTCAAGAGCTTTAATTTATTTTCCTTCATGAAACTATCAAGGGTAAACCATTATGTTGTGGATATATTTTGACAATTAAATTAATACCTTTAGTATTACGATTTAATTGCAATCGTCTGATCAGTCTTGTGTGTGGCACTTTCTTGCTCTGTCTTCAGTGGGTCATAGATCTATTTCCACTTCCGTTTCTGAACGCACTCGATCGATACCTCGAAGCGTGATTCCTTTCTTGCAGCCTCAATTTTAGAGCGATAAAAACACCTACCGTCAACTGAAACAATATCCATTTATTTCTAAAGCATATTTATTTGATTATATTGAAATATAAGTTTGTGAATTGCATATTTTTAGTTCTATATTTCAAAATATCAGTGTGAAATTCAATTTTGAAAAACCCGAAACCCGAAAACCAAAAACCGGGTTTCAGCTC